CTAACAAAATACAGCTTCCTATCAGGTAGATGTCCCTCCCCATCTTAATGCTGTCACAGCTGCTCTATCACAGACCCTTTGGTCTGGCTGTAGTGTGGGCAGCATGGGCAAATTATCTCACCTTGTGAAATCTCAGTGCCATAGTCTGTAAAACACAGAGGCTAATTTATGCTGCATCCATTGCCCACTGTACCTGCTACAGGGTTCATGCAGGCAAAGTCCTTAGAACCAGCCTGCATGGAAGCACTCAATGGGCGCTGCATTATTACTGTTAATATTATTACACAGAATAAATGCAGGAATCAGAAGTCAATGAGATGCCAGGGGCCCATCACCTAAGAGCCCTGGTCTGACCAAAATGAGCCATGAAATGACTCAGCAGTCAGTGTGGATGAGTCCTAAGTTATCACCCAGGTATCTGGCCACATACCACCACCATGTAGACTACTAGAAAGACCCTCCATTTTGTGCACAAAATCGAGGTTCTTCCTGTCCAGAATTATTTTCAGCCACCAGATTTCCTGAAAGATGAAAAGATGTGTTAGAAGGATTTCACTAGGAATGCTCCAAAGGGAGAGTTCTGCCAGGAGCCAAGACCTGACAATATAAACACACACACAAACACATAGACACAGAAACATACACACATACACAGAGACACACAGAAACAGACACACACAGAAACAGACACATATACACAGAAACACACACAGAATCAAATACACACACAGACTCCACAAAACACAGAGACACACATAGACATATGCACTGACAAACATACAGAAACACACACTCAGATACACATACCACACATACAAACAGACAGACACACAAACATAGACATACACCAAAGACACACACACACAGACCACACAAACACAACACCCCCCACATATATACAGATCACACACACAGATAGATACACAGACACACACCTTCCTAGAAGTACAGAGAATTTGTTTATTGTTTCTACATTAAATTAGAGCAATACTATTTTTCATAGAAAAATAACGGAATCTATCATTGCAAACTGTCATACCAGATGAGAAAAAAAATGTGTTTTGTCTGTCCCCTACCCCCCTCCCCGATATTAAAAGGTTTCAATAACTCCTGGGTGCTGGGCCACAGTGGGGTTTTGGGAAGTCTTGAGTTGTTGATTCATTGAGGCTGTTCTCCATGCTATACTCTTTTGGGACCATTGTCATCAGAGATACAGTCCCCAGCAGGGTGAGTTTTCCTAAAAGTGCTGCTTCCCACTTGCCATTCTGAAGTGCCATGTTCCCAGTGGCTAGGAGCTCCTTGGTGTCTACTCTGCTGGTGCTTTGTCTGAGCTCTGTACAGTTGCCTAGCCCAGGCTGGGCAGGTAGAGCCCACAGCCTCAGGCGTGGATATCTGTTAACAGTCAGAGAGCACCCTTCTTGTGTCCAGCAACTCTTGGACCCAAGAGGATGCTGGGTGCAAGGCCAGAATCCTGCCTTCCATCTGCTCGGCATCCTGGGTCTAACTCTGAAGGTCCACATCCCACTTGATGCCTGCTGGCACAAGACGGAAGCCAGTGCTCACAAATGAAGTCCAGTGCTGCTTGTCAGAGACGCAAATGGAATTACAATGCCTCGGCTAGCACGAGTGTCAGCCCTAGAGGGGACATGTGAGGTATGGCCAGCCTAAGAGCAGAGGGACGTGTTCTGAGGTGGAGAGTGGCAGAGTAATGGCTGTCAACTCTGACCCATTTTTATCCACCAGGTTCCTTCGTATTTTCTGATTTGAAATCTAGAGAAACTGGTTGTGTGCTTCTCCAACTGTTGACAAATCACCCACACAGTTCTGAGTTGCTGCCTGGGTTTACAGCTCCAAGCTGCAGTGTGAGGCATATGTTTCATGATCAGTGGCCCTGGTACTCTGTGTGTGAATTTACTCTCAATTTTCATCCTCTGGCACTATCCCCAAGAGTTGCTGTCTAGTTCCTGGTTTGGTCCTGGTCTTGACTCAGGGAAGCCACCTGTGTATTACAAATAACAAAAATGCAGAGACAGATTTTGGGGTTCAAGCTGAAGATCAGAAATGCAGAGCAGGCAAGCCACCAGAGAGTTCTTACCTCTACCAGGGCTGGGGAGATCCTGTCCTCCACGTGGCTGGAGACTAATTGGCCTAGACTGAACGCTAGTTCTGAGATGCTGCTCCTGTCTTATTTACCTCTCTAGTGCTGGAATTAAAGGCGTGAGCTCTGTTTCTCATGTAGACTTATCCACTCTCATGTAGCCCTGGGTGGCCTTGAACTCACAGTCCTGTGATTAAAAGTGTGGCTAGCTTTGCTTTTCCGATCCTCTGGCAAGCTTTATTAGATCATAAACAATATGTCACCTCAAAGCTGCCTGTGTTCTTACACTCCAGTGTGCACACAGGGTACTTGGGATCTTATTAAATGCATACTGATCTGCAAGGCCAAGGGTGGGGTATTGGGTTCTATTTATAACAATCTCTCAGGCTGGGATGATGGGAGTGGGGAGCTGTTCAGGGACCACAGTTTGAGAAGCTGACAAGTAGAACCCTTCAGATCCCAGCCCAGGGCTTCTGGAAACCCAGCTGTGATTCTGATCACCAGAAGGCAGGTGAACCTGCCCCTGTGCTTGTGTGTGTGTGTGTGTGTGTGTGTGTGTGTGTGTGTGTGTGTGCCTGCGTGTCTGCGTGCCTTCGTGCACCCTTAGCAGTCAGTGCTAATCTCTCCCTCCTTTCTAAGAGCCTGTGTTCTGAGACACAACCCCTCCTGTGGGGCCTTGGCCCTAGAATGCTTCTGTAGTTTCATCCTCCTCTGCCCCTGGACTGTCAGGGCTCCCTACACTCAGTTCCTCCAGCATTCTTCTGTGCCTTTATCTGCACCCAAAAGTATTAACTGTTTCTCCCAGCTGACTTCAAAATGCCAGCCTTGAACCCCACCTCTCTCCAAGCTAGCGTCCCATACGACCAACAGACATATAACTTTCTGACTTATATGTCTCAAAATACTTCTGATGTGTGGGCTAAAACCAGACTCATGATGTGAGCCCACTAGCCTAAGTCCTCCGTGATCTCTGTGTCAGTACATGACCCTCTGTCCATCCAAGAACAGCAGGGATCTGCTACGTTTTCTATTGCAATGTAAAAAAATCACTTTGGATTTACTTCTTAAATAATGCTGATATTTCATTTGCTCAGAGATCTGGAACTGAGACGGGGCTTAGCAGGTCTTTTCAGTGTGCTTCTTGGCTGGGGTGACTTTGCTGGTGGTGGAAGGCTTCTTTTCATGATGGGACCCCAGTAGCAGTCCAGCTGGTGCCCGCCTGGCCCGGCTCTGCTCCACAGTGCTCAGTGTTGAGCTTCCCAAAAGCTGCTGCGAAGGGCCAAGAGCAAACACCCAGAGCCAGGAAGTAGGAGTACCAGGCCCCCATTTGTCACAGCACATCTGCCATGTTCTGTTTTTCAGGTAGTTATAGACTCCAGCCTAAGGGAGAGAGGAGCTCTATTTCTTTCTGTTGTTGATGATAGTCAACTTTTTCCAACAGGGCCTTGCCGTGTAGCCCAGGCAGACCTGGCACTTCCAATCTCTATGCCTCTGTACCTCTGTCCCCAAAATGCCACCATCACAGAGAAATCATTTCCTTATTTTCTGCTCTCCTTCTCTCCCTCGGTCCCCTTCCCACTCTCCCTCTCTTTTGTGGTGCTGGAGGGCCTTATGGATGCTAGCAAGTGTTCAACCACAGAGCCACACTTTAGTCAAACCTTGGTCCTTGGTGAGTGTGGCTTCAAAGAATTTGGGACTATCATGAGTTGCCATCACTCTTGATGGCCCCTGTTCTTTTACCTAAAACCAAGTCAACACTCTGTGCTGACGATTTTGGCTCTCTTCCACTGTAGCTTGAATCTGTTCATTTTGCTTGATTTCCTTTGCCCACTGTAGTCATGGCCTTTTAGGCTTGGACTCAATTAGGTTTGTGTCTATGGTGTGGCCCAGATTTGCTTTGTAGTGGGGTATTTGTGGGTGGCCATGGTAACCTGTCTGAAAGGGGGCCGAGTAGCAGGTTTCTCAGAAGCTGTCCTCATGCACCTAGTATTTTGTTGTCAGCTGGCCTCTGGGTTTATCTTGAGTGATAGTGTATGTGCGGGTGTGGGTGGGGTGTCTACAGAAGGATTATCCCTGAAGTCTTACCCTTTAGTCCTGTTGCTACACCCTGCCTGTTTCTCCGCCCCTGACCACCTCACACATCCTCTCTTCTCCCATTCTTCTTGTTGGTGCTGCTTATCTTCTAGTCTGTTCCACATGCTGGCTTGTGCTCCTAAGGCCTTGCTCGTGTGTGTGTGTGTGTGTGTGTGTGTGTGTGTGTGTGTGTGTGTGTGTATGTGTGTTGGGAGGTACTTGTCAGCATGGTGGTTTCACATTTGTTTTGAGATTACTTATTTATTGCCATCTGACTCACCTAGAGGATTGAACTCTGAGAGAGCAGAATTGTGCCTGTCTCTGCCACCATCATCTTCTCACCTCTGGCAAGGAGCCTAGGGCCCTGCTGGGTGGTGTTAATCCAGGTAACAAGCCTGCTGGCCTTCACTGTCTCTTCTCCAAGCTTCACTTTTCTTTTTCTTTTAAAAAAGTTTTCTTTTTATGTGCATTGGTGCTTTGCCTGCAAGTAAGTCTGTGTGAGGGAGCCAGATCTTGGAGTTACAAGCAATTGTGAGCTGCCATGTGGGTGCTGGGAACTGAACCCAGGTCCTCTGGAAAAGCAGCCAGTGCTCTTAACCCCTGAGCCATCTCTCCAGCCCCGAGCTTCAGTTTTCTAAGTTCACTCCATCCTCACCAGCGCTGCCTGTCTGGAGTCTGTCCAGAGTGTGATGCCTGAGAGGGATGAGCTAGAGAGATGTGCCCCTCTTGCTGCTGCAGAGTGGCTGGGTGTCTGTGTCTCCCATGGTACCTGTGGTTTAGCTGGAGTGTTATTCCTCCACTCAGGGTAGGAATTCCAGTTTTCCGATACATGGTTTATGGAGACAAACTGGACTTGGAGGTGAATGCAGTGGCTCTCAGGCTGTCTTATGTTGGCAGCGCTCAGCTTCATTCCCCTTTGCCTCCTGCCTTCTGTCTTCTCCCTGCCCTCGCTGCCACTTTCCCAGGTCACTGTGTCCCCAGAGCAGCCCTCTTGGAACCTGCCTCCCTCCTAAGATGCCTCCTCTCTTTGCCACCCAGTGACCCTTGGGACATTTGCTCATCTTCTGTCTTGGTGAGTCAGGCATGCCACACACATCTGACATGGGCAGACACAGACATGATCCTAGACAGACACTTCCAGTTAGGACAGTCGCCCAGTTCACTGGGGAGAAGTGTAAAGTGTGGCGTGGTGCTCTGAAGCTTGCTGTCCCTCACCTGCCTGCCAGTCTGCTAATATGTGCCTCACGAGGGAGTGGGTACCACACCTGAGTGAGAATCACCCTTGTGTGTGTCCTGATCCATTCCCACAATGCTGTGATCCTGTTGGTGTCTTTCTCTCTCCTTGTTTGAAGCTCATTTTCTGTAACCTGTAGGCTGCCGGACCTCTCCATCCTCCGTCTGGGGGAGACTACTCTGGCTGCTCCTTGCAGGGAGCTTAGATGAAATCACACAGAGGCAAAGCCCCAAACTGCCCTTTGACACCCAAAGTCCCAAGATAACTGTTACTGTGATTGTTTTTCTGGTTTGTTTTCTTTTAGAATTCACCCTGTGTCTGTGGTCACATGGGACCGGGATGGCGCTGTGTCTACGATACCCCCCCCCCAATTGCTTCTTCCCTTATACATATGAATCCAACACAGTGAATGGCATCCCTCGAGGGCTATATCCAGTTTCACCTCCTCAATAATTTCCCATTAAAACCCTTTCCCGATTCCCCCCTCCCCTCTTGCTTCTCTCTCTTTCACACTTACGCTTAACACTCTATTAGGTTCCATTAGGGTACTGGTTGACAGTGACATCTATTGCTTCTTGTGAGGGATTATGCCACAAGCCATTCAATCAACAAGGTCCTAATTAGTACCCAGCTCTTCACAGACCTCTTGGGCATTGAGCCATTGAGTGGCGGATAGTAGAACAATCTGAAACAATCTGCATAGAGGAGAACACCATCTGGTAAAAGACGGGGCTCGCACACAGAGACTCATATCCGCACGCTCAGAAAAGTATAACAAGGGCTGGATGTGATACAGGGCCTCCAGAGACAATGGACTATGTATGAGCAAGTCCTGGAAGTTCTTCAGGGCCTGGCACTAGACTGGGATTTTACAAGAAATTTATTGAGTTGACTTGAACTTACAGATTCCTAAGGATCTCTGTTGATCCGACCTTTCAACAAGTGTGGCTAGAGTTCTAAACAGCCTTCTATGGCTTCTCTGCCCTTTGCCCCCCTCTGAGCACTTAGGCTGCACTGTGGATGGGGTAGGACAAACTTTCCTGCCTCTGGGAATTGACTCCTTCTCTTCAGAGACCCTCTCATTCTCCCTGAGAGAACATGCCTGGCCTTCAGCAGCATCTCCTCCCTACGCAAGAATATGTGATTTGTCTGAGCAAATGGATTTTTTTTCTAAGTGGCCACATTCCTGCCGGTTTCCCCAGGGCTCCCATCATGAGCTGTGTGGGCCTCAGGCAGCCAGCTCCATCAAGCATTTCATTATCTTCCTGGGATGTATCACTTTCCATTTAGCTCTCAAGAGACAGCTTGTTATCTTCTTAACAAACCTTAATTATTTACAAGCAATCATAGAGGCCTCAAGCTGGGTCTCCACACCCTAGCTCCACAGGGAGACCTCTCTCCACTTAGAGTATCTTGCTGGCTGGGCTTTCCTTCTTTTTTTTGGGGGGGGAGGGGACGCTCACTGTGTCCTTTGTTTTATATCTAGGCAGCTTCTTTTCCTTTAAATAGATAACTTTTCTAGTTATAATTTTTAAAATTGAGTGGTAGCATGAATTTTGAGTCACATGTTTATTACTTTGTACTGGGGTTCTACTCATAGTCCTATGCATGGAAGGCCAGATCTACTTACTTCTGAGGTGTGTCTCTAGTCCTGTTTAGAGACAGTTTCTAGCAACTCAGGGATAGGTCCTTCCACTAAATGTCTTGAGTTATGAACCCACCCTTCTTATATGGAAGTTATTTGTGACTCATCCACTGCCATCAAAGGACACTTACTGGAACTTTGCCTTTCCCTGGGGGTTATAGTTCTTGCTTTGCATCAGAGTAAAGGATGTAAACTCCACTGCTGATCTGGCAGTCCTCAGGAGAACTGGCAAGATACTCACAGGTGTCAGAAAGGCAACATCTCTGCTTACGAGAGTTAGGACATTTTCTTCAAGGCAAAACCCATTTTCCAAACCTTTTCCACAAACTGCTATAATGGAGGAAGATTCTCATGATTCCCTGCTTGCAGATAAAAACACTTTTCCCCCCTGTCAACTTGGATGTCCCCAGGGGCTAACACATTAATGTACTATTAGTTCTAACACCTTATGACAACTGTGTTAGTCAGCATCTGTCATTGTAACGATGTCTGGAAGAAGGCTACTTTGAAGGAGGAAAGATGTATTTTGGCTCAAGGTTTTTAGTCCATGGTTGATTGGATGTATTGCCTTTGGGCTCAAAGTGAGGCAGGGTATCACTGTGTGTACACACAGTAGAGCAGAGAGGCTGACCTCATGGGTGATGATGGGAGGGAGGCAGGAGGGAGGAAGAGGTGAAACAGGACAAGAGAGAGACAAGCTATAGTTTATCATCTCCCAATAGACAATCAAATTATGCCCTTATCAATAAATTAATCTATCCATCAACGAGGTCAGAGCCCTCATGATCCAGTAACTCCCCAAAGCCCCACCTCTGGTCTCTGCTGCACAGAAGACCAAGCTTTGGATATATGAGTATTTGGGGGACATTTCAAATCTGATCTGTAACAGCACCTTACTTATATCAGAGAGGTGCAAGCAGGAAAGAAAGATGGGGAGGAGGACAACTTCTGGAGGCAGTAATTGGCGAGGAGCTGCGGCTGTGGGGGGAGGGTGGGTTCTTGGCAACTGAAAGGGTTATACTAATGTCAAGGAGGGGATTGGAAGATTCTAGTCTAGGGTTAGATGTCTCACCTATCTTTTTGGCTTAATCCCTTGAGTGGGGGTGCAAAGACCCACAGAAATGAAGTATGGAAGAACTAATAAGCATAAAGTCAATAGAAGGGGAGGAAGGGACAGAATTTATTGAATTATGATGAAGCCCAGCCAGATGTTTTATTGCTGATTATGTCAGAATAGGAGAACCCTGACTGTATCAGCAGAAAGGATAAAGCTGGCTATCAAAGCCCACAATGGCATAAAGTTTTAGAACACAGGGGCACATCGCACCCAGGGTTATGGAAAATGTAAGCATGCCCCAGGACACAAGTTGGTCTTTTAAAACCCTTCTCAGGTTTATCGCTAACCTCCAAATTGTGCTGTACACTAGACAAGGTGTTTATTTATCATCATCATTATTATTCTTTATGAGCCTTCCCTTATTTATTTCTGTGTCTTCCCTCATACATCTATTAACATGCAATGATTTTAACTCACTGTTAAAATGATTGCTAACATTGATCTATTCTTCAGTTTCAATCATTAGCAATTACTACTGCTTCCTGTCTGCTAACTTGTGTTGGTGGGCAGTTGTCTCTTGTAATTAACTTCTAACCAATAGCAGACTACAAGATGACAAAGTACAAGTGGCTCAGTAAGGGGAAAAGTATATAACAGTAGCTGTTTCTTATGGTGCACTGATGATGAGTTAGGGGCCTTTAAACCAAGGACACATTTCTTATCACTTAATACTCACACAACCCAGTTTTCAAGTGAGGGCTCTGGCGTAGGCAGCTTCCAGAAACTTCTCAGGATTATACATTGGGTGGATAAAGGAATTCTGAGATATTGTAGTTTTGGAAGGCATGCATTCAAACTGTGTGCTGCTTCCTAGAATGGATGTGGAGAGTTGTGTTGTGAGAACAAAGTGGTGAACTGGACCAGACTTTCTCTTTTGGTCCTCCAACCAGCTCCCAAATCATGACACAGAGACATATTATTAGTTTTGAATGCTTGGCCTAGCTTAGGCACATTTCTGGCTAGTTCTTTTAACTTAAATTAACTTGTTTCTCTTTATCTACTTTTTGCTTTGGGGCTTATTACCTTTCTTCTGTGGATCTTATTTCACTGCTTCTCTATAGCTGGTGTCTGCCTGGCTGCTTGGCCCAGACTTGTCTCTCATCCTCTCCTCCTTCTCTTGTTTTTCCTTTTTCCTTTCCTTCTTTCTCCTGAGCCTAGATTTCTCCTATTTATTCTCTCTGCCCAGCAGCTCTGCCTATCCTTTCTCTGCCTAGCTACTGGCTGTTCAGCTCCTTATTAGAGCAATCGGGTGCCTTAGGCAGGCAAGGTGAAATAAATGCAACACATCTTCATAATTAAATGCAGCATAAACAAAAGTAACACACTTTTACACAGTTAAAGTAATATTCTACAATGTAAAGAAATGTAACACATCTTTATCTAGTTAAAACAATGTTCCATGACAGTGAACAAATGGGAATAATCAAAGGGGTGTTTATGACTTAGGAAAAAAAAAAGGGTGGGGGGAATTGGGAGAGGAAAGATGCTGTAGAAGGAATATTTTGTCTTGCTGGGAGGAAGATGCTCAGAGTTCCTGATCTAGCCAGGCTACCCTGTTCTGATTGGCAGGCCTCACCCCTGACAAAGGTGTGGAATACCTCACTGATATAAGGTGTTTTCCAACAGCAGGTTTGGTTTCCAGGCTACATAAAGCTCAAGTTAATTTTCTTCTGCTGGAAAATATTTATCTGGAATTTGATTAAGTGAATTTCATGGAGGCTGGAGAGCTGGCTCAGAAGTTAAGAATGCTTGTTGTTCTCCTTCAGGACTTGAGTTCAATTCTTAGGATCCATATAGGGTGGCTCACAGCAGCCTATAATTCCAACTCCAGGGGGTCCAACACCTTCTTCTGAAATCTGAGGGCATCCAGTCACATACACAATACCCATGTCACAACAGCGAGAACTAAGTGTATGTATGAGTCTAGCCTATGTCCATAAGCTTGTGCTTTTCTATGTTCATGCATTTCTATCTTGTGTCCCAGAAAAGAGTGGGGCTCTCGTTCACATGGCAGACACGTGTTACATACTTGACTGTAGAATGAAGAAAGGAAGTAAGAGTTTCATTTACAAAGAATAAAGGTGGGGAAAAGGGATTCTGTTGGAGGTTAGCACAAACACCACTCCTGCCCCTCTGGCTCAGCAATGTGAGCATTTTGCCCTGACATTTGTCAACTACATCTCAATAGGACAAATTGCTGAACTTCTCTGAGCTGCATGTTAAGACATGTCAAGACTGAACTTCAATTTTGTCATCTGAAAACATGGGATAACATCAAAGAGACTGTGACAATAAATGAGAAATACTTATGAAATACTTATACCTGCGCCACTAAGTTGTAGTTAATGCTATGTAGGAACTGGGCATTACCAGTTATTCTCCTTTTCCTGAGAGTTGGCTTACTATACTATTCACTAGTAATGAGTGGGCACTTCAGTACTGAAGGAATAGCTAAAGAGTTGATTCTCTTTGATTTGGTGGTAAGAGCTGGTGTGACAAGATAGAGTGCTACATGGACTCACATGCAGTTCATGTGTAAGACAAGAAAGAGTCATTATCCAGGCCACAAAGAGGCCTGAGAACGGTCACCTTGAGGACAAGGCTCCAGGAAAATGGGTCCAGGCAGGAGGCAAGGTGAAGATCAACGGTAGTTGCCATGACTACTAGTAGCCACCCAGGGAACAGCATATAAACGTGCTCTCTGAACAGGGCATAGAGCTGCAGCTGGGACCTGGTAGGTAGACTCAGAGGCCTCTTCCAGCAAACAGCCTCCTGGAAAAGGATATATTGCTAGTAAGAGCAATGAATGTATTTTCCGACAGGGGAGGGTGATGGAGAGGGCCTCTAGTGACAGGGAGGAGCGGCTGGTGAGGCATGGCCATGTGGGGGCCAGCTCAGGAGCAGGCTACAGATGCCCAGGAAGCCAGTGTTTGAATGAATGTTCTCAGTGGCATCTGGCACTGGTGTCTCTGTGCTCCAACTAGGTCAGGAATTTACAAATGTCAAGGAGGACAAAGATCACTTTTGGAAGCTTATGTCTTTCATCCCCTCCCCCAGTATCTGTTTCTTTGATTTTGCAAAGCAACCCCAGGAACTCTCACCATCTAGCCCCCTGTTGGGCCCTGCCCACTCTGTAAAGGCAGTTGGCTCTCACTTTTAAGAACCGTACATGGGGTGAAAACTGTGTACCAAAGTATGAACAGTCCTGTTCCCTGGAGGTGTTTGCATTTTCAAGAAGATCTTATGTTCTTATGTCATTCTGTTGGTCTAACTCCATATGCTGACAAAAAGCAACTGAAGAGTTTACTTGACTTCACAATATCTAGTTATAGCCCGTCATTTTGGAGAAGTCAAGGTAGCACTCAAGCAACTAATCACATCGTATCCTCACTCCCCAGCAGGGAGAGAACAAATGTGTTCTTGCTTGCTTGTACAGCTTACCACCTCTGCTTTTTACACAGTTTAGGGACCCAACCTAGGGAATGGTGTTGCTCACAATGGGCTTAGTCTTCTACCTCATGGACAATCAAGACAGTTCCTCCCAGACATACCAGTCAAAGTGGATCTAGGTCACCTCTCAATGATGGCTCTTCCCAGGTGATTGTGGGTTATGTCAAGTTGACAGATAATAACCAGCACACTTTGTTCATCTGACTGGGAACAAGGCTTCACAGTGGTGTCTCTAAAACTAGGCGATGGGAAATGATCTTCAGCAGGATGTTTTCCTTCCTTATGGTGCAAGCTCATCACAGGAACCTTCAGAGGACACTTGTTCATACTGCTACCCTGAAGCCTCCCAGCCTACTTGTTCCTTTAGCCGCATCTTGTCACAGGAGGTGGATGGCTTGGGGTCCTTTCTAAGGTCCTCTTCTACCACCTTACTCAATTCATTCTCTTTTGGCTCATTCTTTTCAATAAATGACCTCAATTTTTTTTTTTTTTTTTTGGTTTGGTGTTTTGAGACAGGGTTTCTCTGTGTATCCTTGGAGCCTGTCCTGGCCTCTCTCTATTCTCTTTGTAGACCTTGAACTCAAAGATCCTCCTGCCTCTGCCTCCTCAGTGCTAGGATTAAAGGCATGCACCACCACCACTTGGCTTCTCGAAATATTTTTAAATCATCAAATATGCCATTTCCTCCCTGAAGACACAAACCTGTCTTGGTCTAAAGCTTATTTTAGCTGTAATGAGTTCCTGTCCTTTCCAGAAAGGTTATCTACTTACTCTTGTCCTGTTCACTCTTGAACTTCTTCCATTTAAGCTCCATCCTCACCTTTCCAGCTGCTTATGCCAAATTCATCTTCATGTTGCCACATTCAGCCATAGGTCTCTGGGTCCTGAGCTCTCTGTATAAACAAATCATTGACATTTGAGCAGTTGACCCCTGTCTTAGTCACTGTTCTATTACTGTGAAGAGACACCATGACCAAGACAATGCTTATGAAAGAAACCATTTAACTGGGGGCTGGCTTATAGTTTCAGAGGTTTAGTTCACTGTCATCATGACGGGCTGTGTGTGTATGTGTGTGTGTGTGTGTGTGTGTGATTTTGGTGGCAGGCATTAGGACAATTGTTGAGAGCCACATCCTTATCCATGAGGAAGGAGAGAGAGGGAAAGAGGGAGGAAGACACACACACACACACACACACACACACACACACACACACACACACATACAGGGAGAGAGCAAGAGAGCACAAGCAAGCACCCAGGCCTGGCTTGGGCTTTTGAAACTTTAAAACCCATTCTCAGTGGCACACTCCCTCCAACAAGGCCTCCTAATCCTTCTAATTCTATCAGAGTTTCACTCCCTGGTGACTAAGCATTCAAATCTAAGAGCTTGCAGCGCCATTCTTATCCATCACCCCCTGCTTCACTGGAGACACCTTTTCTGCTTGGCCTCAGAGAAACTTCCTCTTGATTTTCTCCTGTGTCTGCTGAGCTTGAACACCAGGTATTAGTCAGGTCCCAAAAGGACCAGGCAAAGCATATTCCATTACATAATTTAGCTTGGAAGCTATGGAATGTCCCCATACCATAGTTATAGACCACCCAGATTCAAAAGGAGGGACTTCACCTCACAATGGAGCAAACACACCAAGAAAGGAAAGTGTGTGTGAGAGGAAATGGTGGTGCTGCCATACTGTTTTGTTGTTTTTGTTTTTTTGACTCTTTTCTGATAAAATATTCCCAGGAATACTCTCTTTGCTCATAAAGTTCTTTATGATGTGCAAGTATTCCATTAACATTTGTTAATTAAGTAAAAACACAAATGATGGTTACAGCAAAAAAGTGTTTATCGAGATTTTTCTGTGCTCAGCACAAATTAAAACTTTTTAGCCCCCCCCCCCCCCCCCCGCCCAGTAACTGAGGAGAAACCAAGGCTTAGAGCAGTCCATACAGCTGACAAGGGGTATGGCTGAGACTGGAAGCCACCAGATGCAGGGGACTTCTTCAGGACACTTCAGGGTAGGGAGAAGGCAGACGGAGGCACCGGAGTTCCTCCCTATCCTGGCCTTGGGCACAACAGCTAACATGCCTTGACCAAGGTGGCTGCCGTAGCAGCTTTCATGTGGCCATAGAACTTCTCTGAACGTCCTTGCGGGGATTTGGAGGCAGCAAGTGTGTATGTCTGAGCCATTTACTTTCCCCTTTCATTCCAGTCTGGGTAGCTGTCGATGCTATTTCTGTGGAAACTACACAGGATGTCCTTCGGGCTGCTCGAGGCAACAGTGTCACCCTTCCGTGTACCTACATCACCTCTGCTCCAGACCGAGAAGGACTTGTTCAGTGGGATAAGCTTCTCAGGAGTGAAACGGTAAGGCTCTAGGATGAACTGGGGCATCATGATTATCCTTGACTGTAATCGCTTGTCAGGCCTGGACCTTAACACCTTCCTTCTGTCACTCTTTCTTTTCCTCTCTTTGGGTTGAGATTCAAACAGAGCCTGATGCATCTGATCCTGCATTCATTTTACCACTGAGTTATGAACTCCATGTCATATTTCAAAAATTATATATGACATATATCATCTGATAGATTACGAAAAGTGGAACTTACTTGCCTAGCATTCACCAGGTTCAGAAACAAATAAACCAGAGTGGAACTTGAGGGTTAAAGAGTATGTGAACTCACCTTTTGTTTGCTTGTTTGTTTTTCCAGACACGGTTTCTCTGTGACTTTGGAGCCTGTCCTGGATCTAGCTCTTGTAGACCAGGCTGGTCTCAAACTCACAGAGATCTCCCTGCCTCTGCCGCCCCAGTGCACCACCGCCTGGCTGTGAACTTGACCTATTGGAATTAAGACATTTCATTAGCAGTCTTAGCAGTCTTCATTTTCATCCACAGTGTCCACCGTTTTCTCAGCATTTGCTCCAACTGTCTAATAATTGGTGATTTGATAAAGTAGAAAGCGTATCTCACTTGTGATCAAAAGCGTATATGTTTATAATAAATGGAGCATCCATTCCTTTAAGTCAGATCTTTCACAATGCTACCGTGGGAAAGAGGTGCTAGAGGGCACCTGCAACCCCTCTTCTCAGAAGGTGAGGCCAGAAGCAGCTCCAGTCTGATTCAGCCTTCCCCTTCTCCCTCTCTTTCTCTCAAAAACATCTTTTACAAATAAAATTACTTTATTCTAATGAATTTGCAAAGCCTTCACACAGCTAGTTTAAGGAAGCCACTCAAACACTTGCCCAGTCCCTAACTCTGTACATCTCAGTGAACTTCTATACTGTTAGAATGGCCACGTAGAAGCCACAAAACTTCACTTAGGGTTTTACACTTTAGCCATCAAGTACATTTGCATTTATTTATTATCTTAGATAGGATTGTATGGCTGTGACAGAGCACCAGGACCAAAGAGCAACTTGGAGAGGAAAAGTTTATTGTGCTTACACCTCAGTCCATCATCAAAGGAAGTCAGGGCAGCAACTCAAGCAGGAACCCGGGGGAGGGGCTGAACAGAGACCATGGAGGAGGCCTGCTTGCTGCTTGCTGCTCATGGCTTGCTAGCCTGCTTTCCTATAAGACCCAGGGCTGTGTATCAGCCTAGGGATGGCATCATGCACAGTGAGGGGCCTTCCCACATGTGTCATCAATCAAGAACATGCACTACAGAATCTTGTGCTGCATTTTCACAGTTGAGAGGCCCTCTTCCCAATGACTCTAACTTATGTTATGTTGACAAAAAATTGACCAAAACACTTATCCACCACAGATAAAGAAGGAAAGGAAAACAAAGAACAACAACAATTAAAAAAAAAAAACTGTGATAGAGTTGAAACTAAGAAAAAATTACCTTTCATCCTCTTGTGTGACTTATGTGACCTTTTGCCTGCATCCTCTCCTTCCTCTTCACCCACTGCTACTGTCCCTTGGTCTCCTTTTCGCTGTATAACCTTTAGGGAAAAACTTTTAATATATCACATCTGCCAGAGATAATCATGTGGTCCCAGCCATCCAGACAAAGAGGCTTTAGCCTTTTCCCTGACAGAATCCCAGGACACTTGTGTCCTGGATGACAGGACTGACAAGGAAGGAGTCAGTCCTATCTGTGCGCCAGGGGCCTGATGGCCCACAGGCCCCACCTGTGCTCCAGAGTGAAAAGAATAGTGCCCTTGCTGCTGTCTTGAGCGGCAGGAACTGAAGGGCACTGTGCCTCCCCCAGGCGCATCCAGCAAGCCAGTGTAATGTCTATGGCTGACTTATTCTGAGTGCTGACATAGACACGGAGGTTATGTAATAGCTACTGAATGGATACTCTACTTCCATAAGGGTTTGAGGTAGCTCCCTTAGGACCAATAACAAATGCAGAGAAAGGGATTATTATCTGTGAGTCCTAGGAGGTGGTGTGGACAGGAGGAGGTCCAGCCACCACTGCCCACCTCTTCCTGGTTCCTTCCAATCATTCATACTCCATATTAAGAGCCAACCTTATGCCAGGCAGTGGTGTCACATGCCTTTAATCCCAGCACGTGGGAGGCAGAGGCAGATCTCTGTGAGTTCAAAGCCAGCCTGATCTATAGCATGAGTTCCAGGAGAGCCAGAACTGTTTCACAGAGAAACCCTGTCTTGGAAGAAAGCAAAGAGCTGACCTTATCAAACACAGACTTCTCAGCCAAGGATAAGGCTCAGTGGCAGAGCAAGTAGAGGCCCCTGGGTTCAACCCACACCTACACTGGAAAACAAGACAAATCATCAGCAACACAGCTAAAAGTACATTATTGCCTTGTGGATGAACCATGAACCATTTAGTGTCACACAGTGTCTCAGCCATGACTCAATAGAATCTGCAGAGTTAGGGCTCTGAGCCAGAATGCTCAGGGTCACCTCAGCCCTGCCATTCGCTTAGAATGTGAACTTGGGGACCTTATTTAATCAGCCTTTTGGTGCCTCGTTTTCCCCCTGTGTAAGATGGATATGCTCATAAGGTCTGTAGGACTGTTGTGATAGTTACATGAGAATACATATCTAACTTTTGGAATGGTACGCAACATAAAACATACATACCATAAGCAGCAGCTATGGCCTTTACTCATACTAATCTGTGACTTACACTCTGCCACACTATTGCTGTCTGCTTTCAGGGTTTTCCTTTGCCTCTGATGTCTAATGCATTTACCTTACACCAGCACACACTGCTCCAGGCTCCAAGCTATTTGCCTGGTTAATTCAGTTTATTTTCAAGCTTCAAGCAATTATTACCCTTTTTAGGAATCCTCCCCTACCTGACCATCTTTAAATCTCATTATCAGAAGATACCAAGGTTGGTTGTTTTTCAAACTCATAGTCTTTGAGGGCAGAACTCATGAGTTATATGCCAGGAACATGGTAGGTAGATTGTAATAATGGCTAGTAACAGTAGACACCACACCAGGCAGACCCCAACTGCTCTGCATATGTTACCAGCTTTAGTCTCGTCACAATAGCATGAGATGTGTTATCATCAACATCTCCGTTGTTTCCCCGCAGTGGAGGAAACAGAGTCTCAAGTAGTCAAGCTCGTTGCTCAAGGACTTTCAGTTAGCAAACAGCAAAGTTAGGATCTGATTGAGGCAGTCTGGCTCAGCCATCTGTGGTATGAGTCACTGATATGCTGCTTCATAAACATGGATGAACAAATAAAGGAATAAACACATTCCAAGGGCAATAGTCAAAATGAAGTGAACTTGGAATTTGAGAGTGGTTGCCTAGCCTGGTGCTTAGTGTGGGGTGATGCTCAGAAAGTATTGGGTGAAGGAAGGAAGGAATGAGAATAAAGAATGGGCTGAGAGTGAACCAAGGAGGGAAATAGATGCTGGCTACAATCATGAGTGCAGCTGAAGACGCCTACTACTCACTGGCATTCCAGTGCGTGTGCTTCCTTCCATGTTGGTTTTTTTTTTTTTTTTGCTTTTAGTCAGGGTTTCATGTTGGCTTAGCACTTGCTCATAGCCAAGGATGGCTTTGAACTTCTTCCTGTTTCCTCCCCTGGAATGCTGGGATGACTGGCATACACCAACATCCTGAGTTTACCCACATGGTGCTGGGGACCAAATCTAAGCCTGTATGTGTGCTAGGTAAGGACTACCAATTAAATTACAGCTCCAGCCCCTAAAGTTTTCATCAGATAAATCTTTAAAGTTTAGAGCTAACCAGTTAGGAACCTACTGCAGGGCATTGCACATCTGTTTGAGACTCTGTTGGTCCATGCATCTGGGTTGTGGGGGTGAAAGATTGGGTCAGGGCAGATTCACATCAGGGCCTGGCAGGGTTTATTCTTTCTCTTAGGAAAGAGTGTTCACGTGGAATTTTGCAAAGGAAAGCTACATCTATGGGACCCGTTATGAGAACCGAGTGAAAATATCTAACGATGTCCAGCTGTCAGATGCCTCCATCACCATTGATCAGCTGACCATGGATGACAATGGCACCTACGAGTGCTCCGTCTCGCTGCTGTCAGATCTGGAAGGTACCTCCAAGTCTCGAGTCCGCCTCTTGGTCCTCGGTGAGTGTTTCCAAATTTTCCTGTAGGAAAAGGGTGGCAGCATAAATGCAGACCCGGCAGGGGCTGATCATTAGCTCTGTGGTATGTTGGCCTGGCCTATGTCAGAGCAGCTGCAGGGTTCTTCTATTTCTGCCATTGGAACCAAATACTGTCAGGCTTCTGAGTGCCCAGTTCTGAGGGCGGAGGTGGAAGCTTTGGAGCCCTCCCTCCTTGCTTCCTCTGCTCTTTCTCCTCTCCACACCAATGCTTTTCCCTGCCAAACTCATTTCTGAAGAGAAGGGAAGGGAACCCCCACATAATTTACAGGTTCTCATCTCACCGTAGTCAGTTCTTGCTGCTGAGAGGGCCGCTCATGACTCCCACAGGTGGTGGGCTCCCACAGGTGGTGGGCTCCCACAGGTGATGGACTCCCCCAGGTGGTGGGCTCCCCCAGGTGGTGGACTCCCCCAGGTGGTGAGACTCCTACAGGTGGTGGGCTCCCACAGGTGGTGGGCTCCCACAGGTGATGGACTCCCCCAGGTGGTGGGACTCCCCCAGGTGGTGGGCTCCCACAGGTGGTGAGACTCCCACAGGTGGTGGACTCCCCCAGGTGGTGGACTCCCCCAGGTGGTGAGACTCCCACAGGTGGTGGGCTCCCACAGGTGATGGACTCCCCCAGGTGGTGGGACTCCCCCAGGTGGTGGACTCCCCCAGGTGGTGGGCTCCCACAGGTGGTGGGCTCCCACAGGTGGTGGGACTCCCCCAGGTGATGGACTCCCACAGGTGATGGACTCCCACGGGTGGTGCGTCTCTGTTGTCAACTCTGCTCCATACCTCAGTCCTCCCACCCTACCTCTAATAAAGGCAGCATCGCCAACCCATGGGAAATATGTTCCAAGAACCGTCCTTCTCACAAGGGAATTTGTTGGAATTTATAGTTTTGGAAGGACGAGGAAACACATCTGCTTAAGTTTCTGAGTAAATGAGGCCCTGAGAAAGGATTTGCCCCAAACCAGTTACGGGGACCACCTTAGTGAGTTCCTTGTCTGTGGCCCCCTCCTGGGAGGTAGCCACTCTACACACTTTTCCCTTTACACCACTTGACAAAATTTCTTTTAAATTGTACATGGTAGTTGCTGGACTGATGGAAAGCATTTTAGTGTGTTGGAATACACAGCAGCACACATTTGCTGTATAAAGAATAATGAGGATCTCTGCCCACTCTGCCACCTAGAGGCATCCAATGGTAATGCATGCAGGCATTCTAGACTTCTACCTATTTTCTCTCACTGTACGCCACGCACTCATACACTTTCCTCTTTCCGTAGAAGAAGTGGGATATTATAAAACACTTGGCAATTTGCTTTTAGACAATGCTCCATTGCACATTTCCCCAGGCCAACACATGCAGACCTACTGTGAGAGAGCACATTCCCTCACATGCATGTAACATGATAAATAAAAGATCCAGAGACTGATATTGGGGTTGAAGCTTCAAGCTGAAGATCAAAAAAGCAGCTGGCCACTAACTCTTACTTTACCTCAGACTGAAAGGCAATCCTGGCTCCACCAAACCGCAGACTGCAGCCTCACTGCAGCCTCTCCTCAGTGTGGCTGGAGAATGAATGCCTGATCCTGACTACTGAAGACCCTGCTCCTGTCTTTCATACCCCTCTAGTGCTGGGATTAAAGGTGTGATCCCCAGAGCTGAGAACATCTTTGTGTGAGCTGTTTTTCTTTAGGGCTGTATCAATCTGGTGTAGATCTGGATGGCCTTGGACTCACAGAGATCCGTCTACCTCTTAACCCTGAGTCCTGGGATTAAAGGTGTATGCCACTAACACCTGATCTCTATAACTTGCGGCTGACTTTGCTTTTTGAATCCTCAGGCAAGCTTTAATAAATCATAAATAATATATTACCACAGTTGCACAATGGCCTACTCAAATGTTTCATACTGATGGATATTTAGACTGATTTCATTGCTTGTTCATTTGTTTGTTTGCATAAGACATACTGCAATATACCCCTATACCGCACTTTGTGTATATGTATATAATATACATGGAAACATATAAAGTTTGGGTTCTTAAATACCTGACCTGTCTTTTGGCATAAGATTTCAGCAAGTTGGAAGGGAAGTGGCAGGAACCCATAGAAATCTAGAGCTGATACTGCTCATCCTCCAACCACACTCCTGTCCTTCACCAAGGACCAGTCACTTCTTTTGTTGTTGAGACAGGGTTTCTCTGTGAAACAGTCCTGGCTGTCCTGGAATGCACACTGTAGATCACACTGGCCTCAAACTCATAGATATCTGCCTGCCTCTGCCTTCCAGCTGCTGGGATTAAAGGAATGCACCACCATCACCCGGCTGAACCAATCATTTCTAAAGGGGAACAAATTAACCTGAAGAGTAAAGGATACAAGTTTAATCTGAGAATATGGAACTTGTTGAAACAAATCTTTCACTTTTGTAAAGAGACCTTTTTTTGTTGTTGTTGTTCTACATGCTAATAAACCCAGCTAGATTCTTTATAAAGTTTTCTTTCTCGGTGTCTTTATAGCCAGATGCTTCTTAAAGGAGAGAGGCTTTAATTATACAGGGTGGCTTATTTTGGGCAGGCTAGCGGTACCCTACCCCCCTCCCGGCAGCCTTAGCCTTGTCTAGCTCACCTTCGGGAAGCCAAGAAGCCTGAAGATTTAGCGGCCTGTGAGCCCGGTAGGATCCTTGTTCTGGTCTCTGGCGCCTCCTGATGTCCTTATAGAGAACACCGGCATCGGAGAGGCTAATGCATTCTCTTCCATCCTTTATTGCCTTTCCCCAGTAAATATACTGGTAACAACTACATGCGGCTCGCAAAACAGGCCACGTGAGAACAAGACCCCCCCCCCACCAGTACTCTTAGACCCCGCAGGTGGGGCTCTTTGAACTAGAGATGATGCGAGGTCCCAGCTGTTTGTGATCTGGAGAGGGAGGGCAGGGGTGTGCCTGGGATATGATCAGGTAGGAAGTTTACGGCCTGTGGTCAAAGGCCTATAGCAAAGGATCTCAACCCAGTCATCCTGAAAAGCAGATCTCCCTTGCTGGCCATCACTCCCTCCCCGCCTTCTCCCGGGGGCAGTTCCTGGAGTTCCTGCTCTTTGCCTTCTTGCCAAGTAATCTAGTCTTTCACTGTGTACATTTGCTTTTTATGCCTCAGCAGTTAGTCTCTAAGAATTCCCCTTCCTGCTTCTGTCCTATGTCTGTCTCCTGCAAAAACAACCTACCTCAGGGACTTCCAGTGCCACTCCACCACTTACTCTGATGGGATATGCGGGAGTTTGCCTCTGAGCCTCCTGCTAACAGCACACCCTGCACTTCTGGGAGGCTGCCTAGGTAAGGGCAGGGCAGGGAACTCCTGTGGGACACAGGAGAGAAAGTGAAGCCCAGCAGGAGTACACAGAGGGTAAGTCCACCACCCTGCACCCCCAGGGCTGTTTGCTGGGCCAGCAGCATGGGCAGCAGGCTGACAGTTAGCCAGCTGCTGGCAGGCGCTCTGCCCACCTGCTCCTGCAGGCCTGTCTTTGATCCTCACAAACCTGGGTTCTGTTTGCCAATAAGGGAGTGCCTCTAATGTGTCTGGTGGTTCCGTACCTGGCTAGGCCAGCTGTGTTAACAGATGCCAGGCACGCCTAATAATAGCCTGCCTGTTGCCAAGAAGAAAACCAGCAGCTGCTGGGCTGGAAGAGAAAGGACAATCAGGGACCGTTCCTCTAGCAACTTCCAGGTGGGCTAAGGCTGGCATCTACCCCAGGATGGGTGGCCGAAGCAAGCCGGCTAAGAGGGCATTGGATAAAAGTAGAGGGGACAGGCCCACTCCCCAAGGACATCAGTGACAACTTTTCCCACTGTGTTCTCCCTCCCCATCCCTAAAAACGTTTCCTGAAGTCTCCTGGATACTTCCTGCTTCCCCTGTCTAGCTTGCTCATCTCTTCTCTAATTCTTGCCACCACCGTCACCATGGTGACCTTCTGGTCACAGCCGTATGATGTGCTGGGTTATCATTCTCTGCCCAGCAGTCTTGTCCCCTACTCTGTTATTGTTTCATTGTCTTTCCCCCCCCCCCATTGGATTCCTTGACTCACTGGCAGTATCACCCCAGCGGCCAGCATTGTTAGGCAGAACGTGGCTACCTAATAATATTTATAGAACCACCTCCACTCCACCCAATGTGACAGTATCAAGGCTGAGGGAAAGACACAGGCTTGGAATCTCAAGAAGCCAGGGGAACCAAGGACAGATTGCTGGTTATTGTTGCTGGGGTTTATAAATATTTCTATGGCATTCCTTCCATTGCTTCTGCCCACTCCCAAGTCTTCAGTCACATTTCCTACCCAGGAGGAGGGTCTGCACTGCCTGGGGTCCCTCATTATCTAGCCACTTGTGCTAATTCCATTTCATTAGCAAAGCACGTGGAGAGGGCAATGGTAGGTCCACAGAGAACATTCTGAAGGATCTGAAACTGAAGTCTGCAAAGATCATCTAACTAGAGTGAGGAACCCCTGGCCAGCTCCAGCCCACAGCCTGCTCTGCCCTTAAGGTTCTGAAGTGTTATTAAAAGTAGAAAATGCAAGGGGGAGAGAGAAGGTATCCAGAAGGAGGGGCTGGGGATAAACATGATCAAAATATATTACATACATGTATGAAGTTTTCAAAGAATAAAAAATATTATACATTTGCTCTCCCCCCCCAAAAAAAAGCAGCTTGCTGTCCCCTAACTTTAGAGTTCTGAAACACTGTGGTCCCTGCCGAGTCAATATAAAGAGAGCTTGTGTGGGTCAGTAGAGCAAGCACTGGGCATGGAGTCAGGTAACCTGGGTTCTAGTCCCACCTCAGCCAGGACCCAAGAACAAGTGTCCCTTCTGTGCTCTATGGCCCCCATTTGTACAATAGCTATGTCAGTCATGTTCAAACTCCCACAATTCCAAAGAGCACAGGAAGCTACTATCAACCAGCCTGTCATAGGGACTATTTCTCTGGGTGATTTGTTTGCAAATAAACTTTACATGACACCAGTGAATCCCAAAGTGATTCTACCGATGTTCAGCTCAGACAACTCATGATACTGTTATGAGGGTGAATCCACAGTAGCCACAGCGCTGGAATCATCCACACCTCAGCATGGATGACTTCTCCATGGCTGTAGAGATGGACAATGCCCCCTTCAGTTAGCCTTCCACAGTCCATGTGCTCGAGCACCTCCCGAGACAAGACCATGAACAATTAGGGCAGAACTACTTACAAATGGCCACTGGTGCTTGACAGAGTGTCTGGAAGCTCAGGGGAGAGTTCAACAGCCCCTCCTTCTATGAGGTCGTGTTAGCAGCCCACAAGCCCAGCTTTGAGGGGCTGGTAAATAGTCACAGCTTCTCTGATGAAGTTGACGCTATTATGCTGGCAAGAATGCTCTATACAACACAGCCTCTGGCGCTGCCCATTTGAGAGGGTGAAATGACAGTGGCTATTTTGGGGGTGAGTTAACTTTATAATATTACATCTCAACATTAAGCTATATACGTTTCTGCATACCTCTGTATGTGTGTGCAATGGGAGACATGGGTTGATAGATATTGGGGCAGGCAGTAGTTGTCCCCATACAGTTCATGGCTATCATCTTGTCTCTTTCCTCCACAGTGCCACCCTCCATGCCGGCCTGCGGCATCGAAGGGGAGACAGTGATTGGGAATGACATCAAGCTGACATGCCTGTCTGCGGAGGGCTCTCCAAGCCCACAGTACAGCTGGAAGAGCTACAATGCCCAGAACCAGCAGCGGCCGCTCACCCAACCAGGTGACAGGGGCAGCAGGGCAGGCGCTGTGCATGACACATAGGCACACCGGACTGACTAGAGCTGCCAGAGGAGGCAGAGGCTGACCAAGCAATCAAAGTCCCATCTCCCTAGTCCTGCCCTTGTGCTATCTCAGACCATCCCTCAGAACATTGGTTTCCCATAAGAATACCTACCTCACAGCCACAAAGACGGAAATGGATTCTGAGAAGTGCCAAGTTTCTGTGCACGCCCCCACCCCCTCCCATTCTCTTGAGGATGTGTGTCTGGCTAAGCACTGTGTGTAGAAACACTGGGGCTTGTTCTTTGAAGCTGCGCTGTGGCCTAAAGCCCACTTTTGAGGTGTGGAATTTCCTAGCCTCCTTTCATATCCAGCCCAGTCCATCTCAGACACCAACACAAACACACCATGGACTATTAGGGCCTTCATTCTCAGGGCAGGCTATAGCAGAGTTATCCATAGTTGCCCGGAGACCTGTCTTGTACTGGACAGTCAATATTTGACCTTTTGGTCAGGAAAAAAAAAAACTAGAAGGAGGAAAAGGGAGAGGCATAGGGGCCAAGAGAAGAAAGGGAGGAGGAGAGAGGGGAGGAGAGGGGTGGGGCTGGGACTGTGTGAACACTCTGCTGCCATTATATCCACCCATGTGGAAATCCCCTGGGCTCCCAGTGCCCACCAGCTGCCATGGCTGCACCAGTGATTTGAGACAGGAACTGAAAGGCTGGAATGATGCCCATAAGGTTTAGCCTTGGGGTCTTTCAGTCCTGTGTGTGTGTAGCTTAGAAGTGACAGTAAAGCCTGTGAGTGGACTAGCTATTGGTCATTCAGCTCTTTAGTGAACCAATCAGAAGGTGCCTCAGACAGAGCCACATCTTTACAGTATAGACAAATACTTCACAACAGGACACACCTGTTTTGAGATGCTGGCCTGAGGGAGGGAAGAACACCCAGTCCCTTTAGCAAGCTGGATGGATGAACACCCCACTCCTTAGGTTTTCATCGAACCAGAGTGGATTTTACCATGCTACCTTTCACTCATTTGGAGGGTAATCAATAAGTTCTCAAAAACAAAGTTAGCAGCCAGGCAGTTGGTGGTGGTAAACGCCTTTAATCTCAGCACTTGGGAGGCAGTGCTATGAGTTTGAGGCCAGCCTGGTCTACAGAATAAGTTCCAGGACAGCCAGAGCTACACAGAAAAACCCTGTCTTAAAACAATAAGAAGAAGACCCCCCCACACACACATAAAAACAAACAATAACAAAAAAACCCCAACGAAATCAAAGATAGTAGAACTCACTTTACTTAATGTAAAAGGGATGATGCAATATGAATTTCTGCTGGCATGTTTCTAGTTTGCTGATTAAAATAAACTGCATTTGTTTAGTGTTTATATATATGCATGAGCGTACCACAGTGAGAGGTCAGAGGGCAGCCTGTAGGAGTCACTTCCCTCTGATCATATGAATCCCAGGGACTTGGGTTGTCTTAATTGGCAGCAGGTACTTTTTTTTTTTTTTACCCATGGAATCATCTCACTAGTCCCTGGATTGCCATTTGAACGTCTGCGATTTTTGTTGAAATCACCTGGAGCTGGCCTTAAACTCTGTGGTCCCCTGTCTCTACCCTCTATTCTCCAGTCATGGTCTGAGGACATAGTGCTGTGTGACTGTCCTCTAGCAAAGTGTGCACAGTGGGTCCAGGGCTGAAGGTCGTGAGGCCGTGAGCCGCAGTAGCTGACACACAGTGGAGTGAAATAGTGTGTGAGGGACCCTGGAGGCTCTCTTCCCAAAGAGGATGTTTGAGTTGCCAGGTGACCTGGTGTTTAAGAGCAGCCGTGGGGCTTGGGTCAGTCCTGGCTGTGCTGCTTGTTACCTAGCCTGTCTGTGCTTTTGTCTCTACATCTATGAAATGGGTACAGCACCAGTGTTCATCACATGCTGTTACTGTGAAGTGAGAACAGAAGGACATAGAGCATTGAGATCAATGCCATGGGCAGCAGGGATGCAGTCAGCTCTAGGTATTGTTAGCTGTATTCAGCAGGCCCTTCAGAGTAGCATAGCGTGGGAACCATGGCATCAGTGTAAATGATGGAAGACGGCCGTTGATGGGAAAGATAGGAGAGATGCGAGGGGCCTGGGAGTCAGCCTAGGAGGTGGGATTTTTCCCTGTAAGTACAGGCTCCTCCTAGGAGCCTCACAAATGGGCATGCAGTCACGGTTTCCCGCTTCCATCAAAAGAAGTTGTTAGGGGCTAAAACTTAGTTTCTTTACTAAGTTTACTAAGTGGGAGAATCCTGAGGGCACAGGAGGAGGTTAAAGTGAGATTTGCTTCTCTGCTGTATCTAGCCCTGAGTTCAGATTTTCTCAGTCAGAATTCAGACCTAGAGTGACAGCAACGAAGATGGCTACTGTGATACGATGTCACCATGAAAGCAACTGGCATCTGCAGTCAGGAAGGAGAGAGAGAGAGAGAGAGAGAGAGAGAGAGAGAGAGGGAGAGAGAGGTACACACAGAGACAGACACAGAGAGACAGACACACAGAGTCAGAGAGGTGACTGCTGCTGCTCAGTTCATTTTCTCCTTTGTAGTCAGCCCAGGATTCTAGCCCAAGAACTGGTGATGCCCACAGCTAAGATGGGTCTTCCCACCATAATTACCTTAATGTAGACCACCCCACACAACCATGCCCAAGGCTAGCTTGATCCGGAATCCCTCACAGGCATGCCCAGAAGCTTATCTGCTAGGTGATTTTGATTCATATTGGTAGTATTAACCATGGACTTGATCCGAGGGATGTGATCGGATCACTTCTGTCTGGACAATGTGGTGGAGGTAGGGTGCTACTCTCAAGCCTGTTGTTCCTAGAGTGCCCTGCAGAGAGGGCCCTAGAGTCCTCTTTTAACTTTGTAGCTGCAAGTAAGGTACTTACAAGTTCCTGGGTCCTGAAAAACAAACAAACTAAAACCACAAAACAACAACAACAAAACGTAACAAGAGCTGAGATGTTGCTATTAGCTTCCTTGAAGGAAGAGGCAGCCTCCCACATGAGGGCTCTGGGAATGCTTTAAGAATTGTCTTCTAGTGAGTGAGTTCCAGGAGTGGAAGGAACAGGAATTTGGGTATCAAGGAAGGAGACTGGAACACTTTAGGGGAGGAGTAGTGAGAGCAGAAATGGGTCTGCCCCCAGAGCCTGGGATGAGAGGTTGTATCCAGAGCTTACTGACCGGCCTTGGTGGGAGGGGACAGAAAGAGCAGATCCTGTTAATTCAATATTAGTATCTTGAGATGGTCAGGCTTCTTAGCTGTTCAGCAGAAGACAGATGACTGTCCTGCATCCCCAGTACTGATCACAAGATGTCGCCATAACAACAGGAAACTGGGTTTTAGAAACAAGAGGGCTCTTTCCAGAAGGGATGGGAGCCTGGGGCCCCCAGTTCAATCAAAGCCAATTGGTGGCACGGGGTAAGCTTCATCTAGAGAAGTTTCTAGAACACATTGTTTGCTTAGGAGACTAGGGGGAAGATGGTGCTGGTTCATGCATCAGGAACCCCCTCATGGGTTCCCCTAAGCAAGGTCTAGAGCTGCCCTGGGGTGCTGTGGACACCTGACTCTCACTGAGCCACACACTTCCAAGGGGACTCTGATGCCAGCACAAGGCCTCCTAAGCATGCCAGGGGTCACAGAGCATTCTGTAAAGTGTATTCCTTCAACACTCTCTTCAAACTAACCAAGTCCAATGGGGTTAGAGAATGGGAACCCTGATACTCTGTATCCCTATCAGGGTTCCTAGAACTTTACAACCACAATGATTTTTTTTTTTTTTTTTTTTTTTTTTTTTTTTTGCATATAGAGTATTTTTTATTTAATTTTATATAACAAAGTCCAATTAAATGAAAACAAACATTTATACACAATATTTGGGAATTTGGGCGTCGTTCTTTCCAAACTACTTCCTGCTGGTAAGGGGCGCTGTCTTGGGGGATTCGAAGAAGATTCAGATATCCTAGCTGTAGTCTGTAGGGCTGTTTTGTCCAGCTGTTTGGAATGTAGGATCAGCTTGTACTCTGTTTCAGGCGGTCTGGTGTGATCAAACCACATTAGTCTGGAAGGAATCCACATCTTTTCATTTTCTGTGGAAACAAAAATAGAAATACTTTTCCCCAGTAACTTGTTCTTCAACTTAAATTTTGGAGTCAAAGCGTTTTTTTTTTTTTTTTTTTTTTTTTTATTATTATTATTTTACATGTCGATCCCAGTTCCCTCTCCCTCCCTCCCTCCCCTCCAGCCCTCCCTCCCTCCTTCCCTCCCTTTTGCCCTCTCTACCCTCTCCCATGCACTCTAAACACCCTCCCCTCCCAACCCCCCACCACAATACAATATGTAGGGGAATGCCATCCAGTTGGGGTCATGTAGATCTGACAGGTCCTGTGAAGTAGGGACTAGGGCTTCTCTCCTATCTCTAGAATAAGGCAGTTATCCCTCCATGGGGGATATGTTTGCAAAGTCCTTTTGTGCACCAGGGATACATCCTGGCTCCACTGTCTGAGGTCTCTTAGACTGCTCAGACCTTCTGGCTGAGACCCATATTCAGGGGAGTCCGAGTCAGACCTCTGTTGGCTTCCCAGCTATCAGTCTAGTGGCCCTTAGCTCCTCCTTGTTCAGGTAAGCTGTCTCTATGTACTTCTACCGCATGGTCTTGTCCTCTCCATCTGCTTCTGGGTTCTAGTTTGACTCAGTGTTTATGTATGGGTGTTTGCTCCTGTTTTCAACAGGCATTAGTTGAGGACTCCATGGAGAAGTTAGTTGTTGATCTCACTCTCCGGGAAGGGCATTTATGATAGCCTTTCCACGGAAGCTGAGATTGTTATTTGGGAGCAGTCTTGTAGTTCCCTCGACCTTTCTTTGTGTTCAACTTTATCTTCAAACCAATATTGGCTCCCTCTTTTATGTTCTCTCTCTCTGTCTCTGTCTCTCTCTCTCTTTCCTATTTTCCATTCCTAACCAGGCTCAATCCTCCTAGTCACACATGCCTTCCTCTCCTCCCTCTCATTTTCTCCTACTTCTCTCTCCATTAGCTGTCCTCCCCCACTATACCTGAGGTCTGGGGGACTTGTCCCTTCCCAGTTCTGTGAGGGACTTTATATGAATCTCTTAGAATACAACTTGTATCCTAGTTCCTCTGGTGATGTGAATTATAGGCTGGTGATCATTTGATCTAGGTCTAAAATCCATATATGAGTGAGTACATACTGTGTTCCTCTTTTTGTGACTGGGTTACCTCATTCAGGATGGTTTCTTCAAGTGCCATCCACTTGCCTGCGAATTTCAAGATACCATTATTTTTTTCTGCAGAGTAGTATTCCATTGTGTAGATGTGCCACATCTTCATTAACCATTCTTCAATTGAAGGGCATCTAGGTTGCTTCCAGGTTCTTGCTATTACAAATAGTGCTGCTATGAACATAGTTGAACAGATGTCTTTGTTGCATTGATGTGAATCCTTTGGGTATATGCCTAAGAGGGGGATTGCCGGGTCCTGTGGTAAACTAATTCCCATTTTCCTGAGGAACCGCCATACTGATCTCCAAAGTGGCTGTATGAGTTTGCACTCCCACCAGCAGTGGAGGAGTGTTCCACTTTCTCCACATCCTCTCCAACATAAGTCATCACTGGTGTTTCTAATTTTAGCCATTCTGGCAGGGGTAAGATGGTATCTCAAAGTTGTTTTGATTTGCATTTCCCTGATAGCTAAGGATGTGGAGCATTTTCTTAAGTGTCTTTCAGCCTTTTTGATTTCCTCCATTGAGAATTCTTTCTTCAGTTCTGTACCCCATTTTTTAATAGGGTTATTTGGTGTTTTGTTGACTAGTTTCTTGAGTTCTTTGTATATTTTGGAGATCAGCCCTTTGTCGGATATAGGATTAGTGAAAATCTTTTCCCAGTCAGTGGGCTGCCGTTTGGTCTTGTCAACTGTGTCCTTTGCCTTACAGAAGCTTCTAAGTTTGAAGAGGTCCCATTTATTAATTGTTTCTTTCAGTGTCTGTGCCCCTGGAGTTATGTTCAAGAAGCGGTCTCCTATACCAATTTGTTCAAGGGTACCTCCTACTTTCTCTTCTAAGAGGTTCAATGTGGCTGGATTGATGTTGAGGTCTTTGATCCATTTGGACTTGAGTTTTGTGCATGGCGACAGACATGGGTCTATCTGCAGTCTTCTACACACCCTCATCCAATTGTGCCAGCACCATTTGTTGAAGATGCTGTCTTTGCCCCATTGTATCATTTTAGCTGTTTTGTCGAAAATCAGGTGTTCATAGGTGCATGGATTAATATCAGGATTTTCAATTCGATTCCATTGGTCTACCTGTCTATTTTTATGCCAATACCAGGCTGTTTTCAGAACTATAGCTCTGTAGTAGAGCTTAAAGTCAGGAATGGTGATGCCTCCTGATGTTCTTTTATTGTATAGGGTTGTTTTGGCTATCCTGGGTCTTTTGTTTTTCCATATAAAGTTAATTATTATCCTTTCAAGGTCGGTGAAGAATTGAACCACAATGATTTCTACACTTGCTTTCCTTGCAGACACCTCTCCAGTATCATATACAAATGTCACATGTAAAAGAAATTGAAGACCCCTGATGTTAACTTCTGGCTTCCACATGTGTATACATATATACATGGATAACCACACACACACACACACACACACACACACACACACACACACACACTCAGAGAGAGAGAGAGAGAGAGAGAGAGAGAGAGAGAGAGAGAGAGAGAGAGAGCTGGTTACTGAAGATTAGAGACCACTTCTGAAATGTCTACAGGGTTGTGACAAGTCTCTTCTTGACGATTTAGAATGTCCCCTAGAGGTGGATTGTAACACCTGGTGGCAGCAAGTTCCTGATGAGGCTGGCACTTGCACTCATGACAAAATGTCTTTGAAAACAGAACACACACACAGGCTGTCTAGGCACAACCCACGGGATCATGAATTCTGGACGAGGTCCCTCGTGAGGACATCTGTTCCAACATTGGCTGTCTTCACCCTCACTTCCCAGATGAGGCAGGCAGCAGTGGCTGAAGAATTAGATGGCTAGAGAGAGGGTGGGTGAGGAAGAAGAGTTTAAACTGATACAGTCCCCCAACTACACAACACTCCCCTCCCCCTAACCGTATCCATGCCTGACACCACACACATCACAGACACATATGCCCATATATGCTTCCCAAGTGTTTACTGCACATCAGGTATTCTACTGGGCATTTATATTTATTATTTAACACCTCATTTTAGGTTCACAAGTACCTTGCCAGGCAGGTATTATCATTTCTAGTTATAGATGAAGAAATGGTTCACAGAAGGCCAAGTTACTTGTCAAATGCTTCAAACAAGTGGACAAAGCCAGACTTGACACCCAGGGTCCTGACTGGATGGGAAGCCATGCAGTGTTGTCCCACCTGCCATGTTGACCCCCTAGTGGTCTTAGAGGCATTTTTTCCTACACTCCGCCATTCTTTTCACTCCGCTGCTCTTCCTTCAGCCTCAGGCCAGCCCTTGATTCTGAAGAACATCACAACGGATATGGCTGGGTACTACATCTGCACCTCCAGTAACGAGGTGGGGGTAAAGTCCTGCAACATCACCGTGGCTCCCAGACCTCGTAAGAGCAGGGTGTGGAGGGAGGGTACAAAGCCCAGAGGTGGCTGCTTGGGGCCCATTGGAGGTGAATGAGGTGACTGCTATGACCCTGGAGAGATGACTCCCCGCCTAGGCTTTCCTCTCCCTGTTGTTTGGAAATAGAGCTTGGGACAGACTTCTAGAGACCTCTTCAGCCATGCCTGTCTCATGGGCCACTCAGAGAGAGTGAGGGAAGTGCCTAGAACCAGTTGCCTTGGTCTAAATCCTAGTCTCTTTTTGTGAGGAGAACGGAGACCACAGTTATCTCCAGCATAAGCCAGAAGCTGGCAAAGCTTAACACTCAGCGTCTTTGCGGAGCCTGGGTAGCCCAGTATCAGAATGCTCTGGTCTGTATTCTCTTATTTGGTCCTCTATCCTTAAGAATATCCTCAGATCTGTGGAGTCAAATTCTTCCAGGGTCCTGACTTTTGTGGAGTGTTAGCAGAGAGAGGCCGGTAGCCTTTGCTCCCTAGGCTGGTAGAAGGACTGGAGTGGGCCAGAGGCCGAGAGCAACCAGCCTGCTGTGCCCTGCACCAGTGCCGTGGTGCTGCGGTTCCTCACCTCTAGCCTGGCTTCTCTTTTGCTGGGGTTGAGTTGGGGGCAGAGGGGGCTAGAGATGGGGCTCAGGAGGTACAGCTCTCTGTTCTCTTGCAGCTTCCATGAACATTGCACTGTATGCGGGCATTGCCGGGGGCGCATTTGCAGCCCTCATCATCATCGGCATCATTGTCTACTGCTGCTGCTGTCGGGAAAAGGGAGAGAAAGCTGAGGACGTGGAGGACACAAGGCCGTAAGTGTGCTGGGGTAGGCAGCCGGCCGTTTGGAAAGAAGCAGATGGAAATACACATCTCGAGTCCTTCTTGGGTGCAGGCCCAGGCAGTGTCTCGAGAGACTCTTTGTTTCAGTGTTCCCCAGCTGCAGCTGAGGGATGAGCAAGTCACCCAAATTAAGGGCAACTGCAGCCCTGCACTAGTCCCTGCGCCTGTGGTTTGCAGCTCAGGGTGGCCTTCTCCGTGACAAGGGGAGGGTCACTGCTCCCACAGTCTCCTTAGCCCACAAGTGATTGCAGAGCAGAGTCCCTTTGCAGCTCCTGGGTGGGGATGGCGGTGGGATCGGTTTACCCCACCTCCCCTCCCTGCTATGAGGGTTAACCTTCTCCTCTTTCCCCATTGCCCTGTAGGAACCGAGCTGCTTACCAAGAGCCTCGAGAGCAGCGGACAGAAGTTTCCAGAGGGAGGGAAGATGAACATGACTACAGGCATGGGGACCAGAGGAGCTCAGGGCGTAGCTCGCCAGAACAACCGTTCCAGTAAAGGGGGCCTGTAGCCTAGTGGGAGAGGAGGGCTAGGGCCTGGTCCCCTGCTTCTGGCCTCTTTTCCCTCTAGTCCCATAATCCTGCCCACCCCAACAATTGGTGGAGGGCATCTTCCTCTCTCTCTCTCTCTCTGTGTGTGTGTGTGTGTTTCCGGGGAGCATCATTGGCCTGACTATATGGGTCCTACCTGTGACTTGTGACTCTGATGACCACACTGATAAGATCCTTCCTTGTTGCTATATCTGACTCAGAACTGGGCCTTTCCCCTCAACCAGACAGCACCCTCTGCCTCCCTTATGGCGGGCAGGGGCTCCTGGAAGCTCAGCATTGAGCGGGAGTGGGGGGGCTGTTTGGAGCTCCCCATACAAACAGTGCCAACATTAGATGGATGGGAGTCTGCCCTGCCCACCACCCCCATCACTCAGGGGAGAGCCGGTGGATGGGCTTGAACTCAATATTTTTGTTGAATTAAGGAAAGAAATCAAGGACGTGGTGATTTACCCAGTTTAATTGTACCACGGTGGCCCCCAGCTTCAGCCTCAGCCTCATCTCCCACCATATTGCTCCTGTTCCCAGATACATGCCTTCTCAGGACTTCCCCGAACACAGTTCCATCCCTGCCCATCAAAATCCCACCTGCCCTTATAGCCCACTACTCTTGGACCCCAATGTTTTTTCTGAATCCTGTCGTGACTGCTTCCATGTAGGGAAACAGCATAGTCACTTTGTGCTATACCCAGCCCTGGACAACATGCAAAGCCATCAGATCTCTGCTTCCTGCCCTGGAGCAGAGCCTGGCAGCTTCAGCTGGGGACTTGTCCTCATGGGCAGGGCTTTGCCTTCCAGTTGTGACTTGGGACGCCTGATGACCTCATAACAGCCCCGTGCTAGTCTGGCAAGGTGGGCAGACTGGTTTAAAATGAGCAACACACACAAGCTTACTTGTCTCTCACTCCTGCCCAGCCATGGGTCTCTGAATGCCAGCTGAGCCTCGATGTCCTGTCCACAGCACCCCCTCCCCCATAAGCTCTTTGACTCTCCAGGGCTCAGGCTAGATAGGCTGCTCCAAATATGCTCTACCAATCAATAAACTTTCTGGATCACTGGAAGAGCAAGTATATAAATCCCTTGCCCCCTTCTGCTTTTATTTACTTGTATATTTTTATATACTTTGGGAAACTCATTGTTTAATTCAAAATGTTTCCTTATCAATAAAGTTGCCAGTGGAAATTCACTTTCCTTTGTTCATCTGTCCTTTGTTCATGCCAAGCATACATGCTGCCTAGAGGGTCAGTGAGGCAAGGTGACCAGGTAGAGAATCTTGGGGTTCTATTACTTGTGGCCAAGATAAGGGCAGGCAGTAACTCTCAAGGTTGCTGGGGACAGGACAGAGCTCAGCCTGGTGGTGGAGGCATGCTCTGAGAGCCTGCACTGTCAGAAGATCTAGCAGGCCTGGGAGTCATCCATGTGCTTCTAGGATGGTGACAGAGATGCCCTTGCCCATGACATCTCTCCCGAGGAGGGGCAGAGAACTGTCTGTTGCAGAGAACTATGGTGCATCTCCCCCAAAGTAGCTCGGATTCATAGTCTGTGCTCAGCTTGAACCAGAATCATGAGATACTTTCAGGGTCATGTCCTTCATGTCCCTTCTGGTGGAGTGTTGTGCTTGTCCTGTACTAGCATCTGTCATATGATGCCACCACAACTGGGTGTATGCTTTCGCCTCGGTCTCTGCCTACAAGATTCACGAGCATAGGACCTGGTCCAGGAAGGCATTGTGAAGGGTCAATTAAATAGATAATGGTTACTGTCATAGTGTCTTGCTCAAGTGGTAGCTCCTAGCCCCCTGGCTACTTTGAGGAGCCATTATCCCTCATGGTTCATGGCTCTGTAAGTGTGTCTGGAAGCTACTCAGTCCTCATTGGTCCTGTCACCTGTCCCGTTAGCTCCAGGCCCTACTTCAGCATGGATTTTGTGAGCATCTGCTACTCTCTGTGCCACTCACAGGGGTACTGAAGAGCTGGAATCCAGGGCAGGTAGCAGACACAGGAACAGTTCCATGAGACAGAGAAGGACTGGGACCAAAGGTGGCTGTGTGTTGGCAGGGGTGGGGGGGTGGTGGAGGGGGGAAAGGGTGGAGGGAGCATGCCTCAGGGACTGAGGAGGTGACACTTGGCAGCATCTTGGCAAAACAGAGCGGGTGCTGACACTCAGTTGTCCTCTAGTGCAAGGCTCTATTACCTGGGTGTCAACTTTCATTATCAATTGGCAACACTACAGATTCCTGCTAAATTTATTTCAGTCCAGAAACTGTGGCAATTAGATGTTTGTAGGTTCCCATGCAGCCACAACTAGCCAGCACAGATGCTCCAAGGCTTTAGGTGTATGCTCAGATAGGCCTCCCAAAGATGAGATGTGGCTTATACATTAGCTACTCTTCAGGGGCTTCCAATTATGTTGCTTTTATGGGTGACAGAACACCTGTTCTCAGAGGCAGAGTTCAAAAGGCCTGGTGTACTCCAGTGGCAAACGCTTGCTCAGGACCAGTGACTTTCTGTGCATGTCCCACATCCCCTCAGTGCTCCTAACAGCTTCCGAATGAGGCAGGCGCGGTCTCCATCAGTGTTCTATGGCTGTGAGGAGATGCTATGTCCACAGCAACTCTTATAAAGAAAGAAATTTAATTGGGGTTAGCTTACAGTTTCAGAGGTTCAATCCATTGTCATCATGGCAGGGAGCATGGTGATGTGCAGATAGACATGGTGCTGGAGAAGGCCTTTTAGACCTCAAAGCCCACCCCCAGTGACACTCTTCCTCCAACAAGGCCACACCTACTATTCCATCTCAAGTAAGGCTACTCCCTAATGACCAAGCAATCAAATCTATGAGCCTATGGGGGGCCATTCTTAGTCAAACCTCCACAGGTACTTTTAGTATTCTCATTTTACAGTGCAGAAGTTTCACATACTTAAAACAGAGAATGCCAAGTTGCTATTTTCAGTTATAATGTCTTTTTGTCCATCGGACTGGGGTATGTCCTCAATTGCTTATTGAGTATGGAATCAGAACAAGAGAAGTTGGCTGCCTTCCAGGAACTCTCATCGTCTGTACCAGCACTTACAAGCACACATTAATGAACCGGTGGAGGTTCTAGAAGCTTCTCTGGTTTTGGTTCTATCCCTGTATATTGTTTCAGGGCCCTGGTCATCTTCACAGGTGATCTTTCTGGAAGCAGGGTCCTGTAGGTGGAGCCTCTTTGGCCCTGCCACTTCATTTGCATGCCATGATTGTTTCTCTTCAGATGTCATGTACATTTCCAGAGGCACCAAGCTGGTGTTTGAGGTAACCCTTGTTTGCTGCACAGCCTCAGCAGGCCATGTTAGCTTACTTCTTCCCCTTCACACACATTTTTAGGCTTGAGAAAACCTTCCTCCAGTTCCAATGAAGTCAGCTCAGCCTGGGAGCTCCTTAAAGGGGTAAATTTCTGCTGTGATCAGGAATGTATCAGTTTTCAAGCTCACCTCATGTGGGCACTCTTTCCACGACTGCCAGATTTTCCTTTCAATTAAGATAAACCCAATTGCTACAGAGAAGGACTTAAGAACTACAACAGCTGAGGTTCTCTGCTTCTCCCTGTTCTAGAGATAGCCGCATCTTTTCGTGCAGTGCCAGCCTCGTTTCTGAGACACAATGGTGAAGATTGGAATGAATGGTTTTGGCAGTATTGGACGCCTGGTTACCAGGGCTGCCATCAATTCTGGCAAAGTGGACATTGTTGCCATCAATGACCCCTTCATTGACCTCAACTACATGGTCTATATGTTCCAGTATGACTCTACCCACGGCAAGTTCAAGGGCACAGTCAAGGCCAAGAATGGGAAGCTTGTCATCAATGGGAAGGCTATCACCATCTTCCAGGAGCAAGATCCCGCCAACATCAAATGGGGTGATGCTGGTCCCGAGTATGTTGTGGAGTCTACTGGCATCTTCACCACCATGGAGAAGGCTGGGGCCCACTTGAAGGGTGGGGCCAAGAGGGTCATCATCTCCGCCCCTTCTGCTGATGCCCCATGTTAGTGATGGGTGTGAACCATGGAAATATGACAACTCCCTCAAGATTGTCAGCAACGCTTCCTGCACTACCAATTGCTTAGCCCCCCTGGCCAAGGTCATCCATGACAACTTTGGCATTATGGAAGGACTCATGACCACAGTCCATGCTATCACTGCCACCCAGAAGACTGTGGATGGCCCCTCCAGAAAGCTGTTGTGTGATGGGCGTGGGTCTGCCCAGAACATCATCCCTGCATCCACTGATGCTGCCAAGGCTGTGGGCAAGGTCATCCCAGAGGTGAACGGGAAGCTCACTGGCATGACCTTCCGTGTTCCTACCCCCAATGTGTCTGTCGTGGATCTCACATGCTGCCTGGAGAAAGCTGTCAAGTATGACAACATCAAGAAGGTGGTGAAGCAGGCATCCGAGGGCCCACTGAAGGGCATCCTGGGCTACACTGAGGACCAGGTTGTCTCCTGCGACTTCAACAGTGACTCCCACTCTTCCACCTTTGACGCTGGGGCTGGCATCGCTCTCAATGACAACTTCGTAAAGCTCATTTCCTAGTATGACAATGAATTCGGCCACAGCAACAGGGTGGTGGACCTCATGGCCTACATGGCCTCCAAGGAGTAAGAGCCCATCCTGGACCATTCACCCCCAGCAAGGACATGAGCAAGAGAGAGGCCCTGTCCAACAACCCCCCGACACTAATCTCCCTCACAGTTTCCATCCCAGACCCCCAGAATTAGGGGGCTTAGGGAGCCCTGCTCTCTTGAGTACCATCAATAAAGTTCACTGCACCTGTCCAAAAAAAAAAAAAAAAAAAAAAAAAAAAAGAAGTTGTTTTCTGTCCGTTTTTGAGACATTCAGAGTTCTTCATCTCATATTTGTCTTTAAAAATCATTTTATTACATTTTTTTGTTATTTTGCATATATGGGGCCTAAGTGTGGAGAATGGAGGACAACTTTCAGGAGTTGGTTCTCTTCTGGTATCATGTGGGATCCAGCTGAGGGAGTCAGGCACCTTTTACCCACCCAGCCATCACTGACCCTCCAGTCTGCCCAAG